CGCGGATCTTACGAGAATAAAATATTTTAATAAAAAATATTATTAAAATAAAAAATATTTTACCGGCCATGGCCGGCGACCAGGCCATGGCCCAAAAAAAGAAAAAAATATATTTTAAATAAAAATATTTTAATAAAAAATATTATTAATAAAAAAAATTTTACCTGCCATGGCCGATGACCAGGCCATGGCAAAAAAGAAAAAATATATATTTTTAATAAAAAAATTATTATTAAGAAAAAAAATATTTTACCGGCCATGGCAAAAAAAAATAAAAATGTATATTTTTAATAAAAATATTTTAATAAAAAATATTATTAATAAAAAAATATTTTACCGGCCATGACCAACGACCAGACCATGGCCAAAAAAAAATAAAAATGTATATTTTTAATAAAAAATATTATTAATAAAAAAATATTTTACGAGGCCATGGCCATCGAAGCCATGGCCAAAAAAAGAAAAATATATATTTTTAATAAAAATATTTTAATAAAAAATATTTTACCGCCATGCCATGACGACCAGGCCATGGCAAAAAAAAATAAAAATATATATTTTTAATAAAAAATATTATTAATAAAAAAATATTTTACCCGCCATGGACAAAAAAAAAAAAATATTTTAATAAAAAATATTATTAATAAAAAAAATATTTTACCGGTCATGGCCGGCGACGGCCATGGCCAAAAAAAAAAAAAATACTTTTAATAAAAATATTATTAATAAAAAAATATTTTACCGATCATGGCGTGAAGCGAGGCCATGGCCAAGGAGGAAAAGAAAAAAAGAAAAGAAAAAAAGAAAGAAATATTAAAATATTTAAAAATATTATTAATAAAAAGAAATTTTGTAGCGTTACAAAACACATTTACATTCTTTTTCTATTCCGGGATGGAATTTTGGGCCGTTAACAAACGCCTTAAAATGCTCGGAATCAATTCCGGCCTGAGAATCAAAAAGAATCATTTATGAGCGGAATGCATTCTGGGAACGGAATCGTTGTCATGCGCGACCTAAATAGCCATGTTTTTACCTCGAAATTTCACTGCAATCTCTTATGATGCAAAGATTAACGTTAATTTAATTGAACAACGTTACAGTCATGAAATATCGATGTGCGCATATTATTTTACCTAACCCATGTGGGTACCATGTCAATACTATTTACCTTCCGGAGTCCATAAAGGTAGATTTTTAACGATTCTCATTGACAGAACTTTGACAGAGGATACATGTATCACACAAGTACGAGTTTGGGATTTTTTGTGTCATTGGAAAAAAGTTTAGGAAAAATGTGTCACGTCGGATATAGTTTAGGATTTTTGGTAGCTTTTCTCTTTGAAGTTTATATTATGTGACATATCGATATGTGCATAACATCCTCATTCATTAAACTAATTACATAATTAATAGTAGTGCACATTATTATTGTAAGTAATTAAGGTATATTTAGCTGGTCGACCAACGATATCGCGTATGAGATGTATTGTTGCTTGACGTTGCTTGACATTAGTACACTGTTTAAAGACGGTAATGGACTTACCACTCAACCCATGGGACATCCTATCTTGCTAGAATTGTCATGATTTCATGGAAAAAATAGCCGCGCGGCGTCAAGCATCTAAGTGAATACAATCCAACCGAACCTCTTACTTTTACATGTCAATTCTAATATATATGTAGATGAAATGGAGCTGAAAGAGTGTTTGCCCGTATACTTGCCACGTGCCACTTCTCTTTAGCGCTGTTCTTGCCACGTAGCATGACACTTGGTATTGGCCCACCAAGTTTATCGATTATTTGCATGTAATCCTGCGCTCTTATATGTAATTTTTAAATGCCAATAATAGAGTAAGTCAATATTTAAAGCATCTGCAAATGCTAAAGAAAGATTTTGTCTAGATTTAATCTTAGTCAAAATAATTAATTAAGCTTAGCCAAAATAATTAAATTAACCTAAGTAGGATAGAGATGTGCGCTTTTTGTCATAAACAAACAGTTCCTGCTGCATTGATCGTCTTCTTCCTCCTCTTTTGTAACATTTTCACATAGATTTCCTCCTCCTAATGATAGACACAACGTGCTACTATATATAGTTTTTGTTTTTGAGTGGTAAATTTATGAATTAAAGAATAATTTCCATTCCAATTACAATAACTAACTTCTTTACTTTGCTAGTAATTTACTACCATATAAGCAAATCTACGTTGGTAAGTTATTAATTTCACTAGTAAGTTTTTATTTATATCGTTAAGTTTTTGTTATGTTTGGCCAATTTTTAAGATAGGTGATAACTTATTATCACATTTAAAGTTGGCAAATTGCTAATATTACCGGTAAAATACCATCAATGCATTTTTTTTTTGTCGAAAGAAAGATTCCATTCATTTCTCATAATAATAAAGATTCCATTCATTTCTCGTAATAATACTCTAGAAGTACATAGGAGGCTTTCAAGCCTAACATATCACAAACGACTGCAAAACAAAGCAAATGCCATAATGTAAATAACAAAGCACAGTCTGCAGCTAAAAGAATACTCTCATCCCTCAAGAACATATCTGTTACCGTAAACATTCGACGGCTGATCACCAAATTCAATGATGAACACACACCAAAATCTCCTCCTCCATTTGCAACAGCTTGTGGTGCGCATCTTAATTCAACGTACTCATCACCATCACAGCGTAGAGATACCAACATCAATATGTTTAAAGAACACAGATCAAAAACATCTAAGGAACTCCTAGATCTAGACTTAAATCTAAATCGGGAAAGGAAAGTAGCCTAATCACAGAGAAGTTGTGGAGCCACGTCACGAATGGCTGAACCGGTCTCCACATTCACTCAAAGATTAGCTAGAGAAATTTATTCAGACACACAAACTCCCAAAATAAATTGGGAGAGAAAAGAACGAACAATCAAAGCAAAGAAAAGGAAAATCAAAGACTAAGTAGACTCTCTGCTTCAAAAGAGGGAAGAGTTTTTGGGAGATGAGAGCATTTGCCGACAAAAAGAGAAAAGAGCAAAACCCTGACGTCAACCTCTTATCGACACACTTGACCGACAAGTCGTCTAGAACACGATTTTACCAACAAGATTTACAATTATCATACCGTAAAATTAAGGTATGTTTTTTTATGAATCACTTTCATAAAGAGCCTCTTCGATGCAATGTGGGAGTGCGACTTGGGATGGCTACAACAAGCTATTTACGATGTGGACATATTTTCTGATAATATATCAACGTAAACAGTTTCTTATCTTGAGAGTAAACCCAGAGTAACTTCTTTCTTTTCGTAGTTAAAGAAACAAAGAGCATAAAAATGCTTTGATGAGTATACTAAATGAAGATGCTTCATTTCATTTGAACTAGAACAACGGATGTTTTGAAGAGCACATCAGCAACTACGCGCGAGCGCGCAAACACAGTGCTAAACCTCAATTTCAAGCGCACACAAATCCTTCGGGAACCTTCTTCCCACACCCATTCACAAGCAAGCTAAGAGCAACAGGAACTTTGATCTTCACGAGGCCCAGCACATTGGCCTTGATTGCAGTGCACAAGCACAATGCAGCTTCAAGATCTGCAACCCCTGCCACAAGGGTGCAGCACTCCTTGCTGGGTTTGGCGCCGATGTTCTCAGTGACCAGTCCAAGCCAGCTTCCGCAGACCCCGAAATTTCAGCGTATCCTTGGGGCACTTTCCCGGCTTTTCTGGGGCTGACGGCGGAGATGGCAACGAGACTTTTGGCGGGCACGGGAGGTTGTGGGACGAGACGCAGGTGAAGAAGAAGATGTTGAGCAGAACCAAAATGGTTACCATGGTCTTAGGACACTTGGGAGCCATTTTCAAGAAATGAAACAGGGTGAATACTATGGGGAAAGTGAGAAGTACCTAGTGTTAGAATGGTTCAATTCAATCAATCATGTTGTTTTTATAGACAGTACAGCACCAGAGGACAAATAAGTAGGACTAGTGGAACTTGTTAGGCCATGCAATGGATTTGTAGCAAGATCTTTATAGGAGAGACTGACTGGCCATCACACACTCACGGAGAGAGAGAGAGAGAGGCAGGCATAGTTCCAATGCCAGAGGTTGGTTATCCAATTGTGGCTAAGGAGATTTCTCTTTGTTTCATAGTGGATGAGGAGTAACCTGATCATTCACGGCCATCGCTCTTCTACTGCATTAGTTTCATTTCTTTAACTTTGTTTTTCGTTTTGTTTTGTTGGCGGAAAGGGTATTTCCAATGCCCGAGAATAATGGCCATTATTTGATCCATCGACATATGAACTCGGTGGGTGACCATTAGATCATGTGAGTTTTACTTGAGACTCGCAGAATTAAAATATATAGTAAATTCTATCTTATAAAATAAAAACTGTCATCACCTCAAACATCACACGTTTATAAGATGGTTGATAACAAGTACCTCCACCAAATCAATCCTCACGTGAAGTCTTACATCATGATTACTCGAACTGAGATGTAATTATCCAAAAACAGAACCGCTTGTCGTATGAAGACTATAACTTTACTCATTATACGACCACCACGAGGCAATAGCCGTAGCTGCAGGCAAAGAAAGACTGAAATTTGAGAAACAGGAATGGTTTATATCGATGTGGGGAGAGAGTGTTCTATCAGATGGGTCCATTCCCGAGCATTTGATCGTAACTACTATCAAAGTTTATTAACATGCAAAAACTTACGTTCTTTTTTATCAGCAGCGCAGCTGAGATAATCCAGTGGCTACCGATTTTCCAGAAGCATTTCCCCAGAGGGATCGTCAATGTGTGTGCCCTCGAGGAATCATTGATGTGTGTGCAAAGATATAGGCATCTTGCTATAAGACAGGAAGAGCAGGCTGGTCCAGTCGTCTCGAGCAGCTGGGACAAGTTTTTCTTACGACTCGTTCTTATATGCTAAATAAGAAGGAAATGAAAAAAATGTACACTAGCATCAGAATAACACGAGCAACAACGTACTCTTATTGAGGTTGTATTGACTGATGTAATCACATTACATTTTGACCAACAAATCAACCAGCTGCTGAAGAAGGCCACAATTTAATTCCAATCAAGATGGACAAGAATGAACAAAACAATGATCAGACCCAACTGAAGAAAAGAAGGAAAATCAAAGTGGTGGGAGTGAGAACGATGTGCTCTAAGCACATTGGAAGCCTTCTGGGACACCCTTCCCACAGTAGTTCAGGAGCAAGCTCAGAGAAACGGGGACGTTAAGGTTGATCCCCAAGATGTTGGCCTTGATGGCAGTGCAGAGGCAGACCGCGGCCTCAAGGTCAGCGAGCCCTTCGATGAGACTGCAGCAAGGAGTCTTTGGTGGGGTCCCCACAACTAGGTGCAACAAGTCGTTCAGCAAGTTGGCGCACACCCCAAGCTTGAGTGTGTCCTTCGGGCAAGTGGCAGCAGCCGGGGATGGCTTGGGTGTCTTTGGAGGCGGAGGTGGGCAGGGAACGTGAGTCGAGCTCACCATGGTGAAGAAGAGGAGGTTGACAAGGAGGATAGCGCCCGTTGCAACAGTTTTAGAAGCCATTTCAATGGAAATCAGTTGTCGAAGGACTGTAATTAAGAAAGGCTCTAGGCTTGCTTGTGACTCGTAATCTTGGCTCAGCTTTATATAGAAGAAAGAAAACTTCCGCTAACAGGTACTTACGACCAGGAACACACAGAGATCTGATTCAGACCCATGTGAGCATATTGGCCTCTGTATCAGAAACCACCCTAGCGGGCAGTGCAACTTAGAGAATAAGCCATGATTCAGCCTTGGAGTTTAGCAGATCCATTGTGCATCTACCACCAAAATACAAAAGGACAGCTTTTTCCAGGCAGTGTCAAACGCTCTCTCTCTCCAATTTAAATTGGTTTATCTTAACAACAAGACATCGACACCTAGCGCTTAATAATCGATGGTACTGGTGTCCGTTTTGTCGAATTTCAATTAAATAAGATAGTTAGATTGACATTTACTTGGAAGATGATAAGAAATAATTGTTGAGAGCACATGGGTTTATTCTTTCTGAACGAACATTCCCTAGTTCTGGTGAAACAATTATGGGTTAAAAAGATAAAACTACTAATGTTTCAGCCAGTTCACCCGTCTCGGAATTTGGAAAAAAACTTTCCCAAATCAATCGGCAAGTGGAAATTGAAAATAAATGATAAAGTGCTGTTTGTGCACGGTGAGGTAAATAGTTCTCTGCAATGATACAGATATACACCTCAGAGTAGATAAATTGCAGCATCTTGTTGGCATGGCTTATCAACTGGCATCTAAGCAAAGTCGGTGTTAACATGAAGCAACAGATTACCAAGAAAATTTCAATGCCTGATACCCTTTCATTCTTCAAAGCTACATGTGTGAGGTCTAATCATTCCAAAAAAATAATAAAAATAACAGTTCACAAGACAGGCAGGAGAGCCAGCTCCCAGAACAGGGACATAACTAGGGAAAAAAGAAAGAGAAACAAAATTTATCTTGATAAAGACCATCAATCATGTTCTGTGTACATGGCAACAAATTTCAGGAACGAGATCTCACGCCATACAGAGGAAGTGAGTAACTAAAATTAGATGAACAGAGACGAGCAATTGATCATCAGGTTGGTCATGTGGTAGCCTTCAATGAGGCTTCAGTAATATAATAACCCGGTTATGACCACTCCTAATCTCACTTATCCGAGCAAGGTGCCGAAGAACCTACAAGAATGAAATGCGCAGGGATGATAAGTTAATAAAATGAGAGGCCATTCATTAGTAAACACAACTTTAATGACAACCCCATGAGAATTTCAGCCTATGACATGAAAAAAGGTTGGCAAATCTCAGTGAGCTAGACCAAAAAAACCAATGCAGTAAGTTATTTCTTTCATTACCAAAATTAGTAACAGAACCAGATTTCGGGGAAGACCCTTTTGCTCTGTATGGATATTGAATAATCAATTATAGTTCTGCTAATGGTAATGAAATGTGTGCTTGGCTACACGTGGTACTGAGGCTGAAGCAGCAGATGATTAATGGTGACTACCATTTTCTGCAGCAACCAAAAAGTTCTGAGTTTACTAGAACCATCTCCAACAATATCTTCCTCCATGGAAGCCTAGTAGTTCATAAGAATTGATGATTTTGGCAATAAACACTCAATCTATTGCAGGTTTCCAACAAACATAACTGGAAAGCCTTATGCATCCCTCTTATGAAGTTATGCCAAAAGTACCTTATGTTCAAATAAACTCCAATTTCCAAAAGCCGGGTTTTAAGTTGTTTGAGGTGAACAGAAGCTGTCACATATAAATATCTTCAAACATGGAACCCCCAAAAACCTCACACCAGCCAAAAGACACAATAGAGGAAATCTAAGTTCATCCAAATTCAGTATCGACTACATATGATCATGCACGTAGTCAAAGACCTTAAACAAGGAATTATTGAGGTGGAAAAATCGAAGTTGGTTACTCACAGTCAGTATCGCTTTCCCTGTGTTGTCAAGCTTCAGATTTGGTCCTTTTATGTCAGACTCAAGAAAGAAATGTTTTCCTTTTATGCCTTCTGTCATTGCGATGTCTCTTAATTCCTGCACGATTAATGAGAATAAAGAAAACTAAAGATCAAAAATGACAGTCTGTAAATTTGACTACTGGTCAGTACACTCGACCATAGCCTGTTCTTTCATGTTACACATTGTTCCAATCTCAAAATCATGTGTTCTAAAAGCAACTGCTAGAAACAAGTTAGGAAGGTTAATTTCAACTCTAAAAGGTACAAGGGTCAACCGCAACGAGAACAGATAGTTGAGATGGTTTATGCAGTCTGTCCAGTGAAATATACTTACCAGTGCCTTCTCCCAAAGATTTTCTCCCACCTTAACAACAAAAAATGAACAGTGAGATTATAAGCAACACCAGACATCGAAATACGAGAGTCACAAGTAAGGATACCTTCCTTTTTGGGGCCAGAATAAGTTGTGCATTCGCCTCAGCATAAGCAGCCATGTCATTAATAGCTGCATTGACCTTCTCTAATGTGAGTCTTCCTCTCATGTACCTGCAATTAGAGAGAAAATTTGGGCATTTTAATCATCTATGAGTAAAAGGGAATCTTCGAAAACGAGACTAGTGAACATTAGTCACATTACTCATTGTAGTCCCCTTCCCCAACCATTTAGCCAGTAATAAGAAACAGGCAAACAAGAAGAGCACAACATAGGTGGAATGACTCTTCCTGAATATTCAAGCTAAGATTTGGCAATATTTGGCGGAAATTCACAATTGGACCTGACTTCTCTGAATAATAGTCCTTTTTGTCGTTAAGGTGTATACTAAGCAGTGCTTTGCCCTATTATACTCTATGCCTTTATAAGCAACTGCAATAGCCAAATGACGCTGCCAAATGACACTGAAATGAGACCCCTCTAACAGCAAACCCTAAAATAGCAATGGACCGGCAGCTACTTACGATGCCAGTGAATCCAGTTCATCTGCTGAAATATACCACAACGGTGGAGGAGCACGTCCCTTTTTCTCCTGAAAAATGCCAATATATAAAAGGTGATCGTAAGAAGTGCCTTATACGTGGTAAATGACATATATTGCAACGAGAACTAACTAAAGAAAAAGAGAAACCCATCAAGTCATTTTCAAAGATGATTAAAGTGGAGCAACCAAATGAAGATTGTGCCATCAGGCTATTTTTAGAATAAGAGAACCTAAAATTTCAACAATACCAGTGGAATCCAAAACCCATCAAAACAAGCACAGTAGATTGCAGACTTTTAACTTGGTAGTTATGTGGAAAGTGTATCGTGAAGAGTTCTCGAATGTATAAGATCATTTATCTGCTATCAATGATCTATTTTATTTGCTAATTTAGTTATTCCATCAAATTTCGAAGGGGGGTCGCAAATTGGGTTTTGGCATCTCTTTGTTTTGAATTTAGGAGGCTGCCCCAGCCAGTTTAAAATGCATGCAATTGCAAACCTCACGATCACGTCATTGGTTGTTACCTAGATGTAGAGAGAGCATTAAAAGTTTGCATATATATACACAAGCAAAGGTGTTACCAAGATCACCCGGAGGAACTTTTTCACTGCTATTTTTAACATTCAAATGATGGCCATTTCAATCACTATTGTCATTAACTTAAAGCACGAAAACCATGCTTGAATCCAACAGATACACTAAGCTCATTCTTCAAACCGCATACATGCCAGATAATCTGCTAAGTTTTTAACTGGAATGTCATGGGTAGTTAATTTGGACAATATGAGACTTCTAGTGCTCTGCAAGTTAGTTCAGACGTCAGCATACCATGTGTTTGTGTTCTACCGATTTCTCTCTAGGAGATTGACTTCAGTATACCCAAATGAGCACGCTCCAGCCTACATGCCTCGCCTAATTTAATGAGTAACAGCTTTTCAATTTGATCAGCCTTTTTTCCCTGATCTTTCAGCACATTATTGCATTTACCTTGGGTATTGCAACAGGCTCTTCCTCAAGTTTCATATTCCCAACACCAGGATGTTGGTTACCAGCATCATGCAGCCCACTGTATACAAAAGCCAGTGAGAACTGCAACTATTTTCTATGCAGCACACGATTATAAATCTAAAGATCTTGATACAGAAGACAGTTTATTTAACCACCAGCTACTTGTATCTGCATTTAACATTGTCACTTTCTCCAGCGCGAGAGATGGAACATGGATGGATAAACTCTGCAACTTCTTCTTCTGCCTTAGTGATGCCTCAATAAGCTTCTGCAGTTAAAAGCGATGACGTAATGAGTTGGACAGAGGGGGGTAAAAGGAAGGCAAAGAACCACAGATCCTCCAGCAGTTCAACTTTTTTTTTTCTGGATGCAATGGAGAGATTTGAGCAAATTGAAACAGAAGGAAGAAAATCGACATCCGAATTGTCGCATGCTGGCAAATAATGTTCCCTCCACTTGCATCCTCTGCCATTCCATATCTCAGCCAAAAACAAGTCAAAAGGAAGGGACTGTTCCTCCAAATTGAATAGAGAGATTTTAGACACGACATAATTGGATTCGTGGGTCATTATGGTAGCATTCCAGTTTCCTCAAACCAGAAGGTAAGCACCCGAGAATCACGACTAAAGAAAGAAACCCCGCGATTGAGAGATGTAATTTCGACTTCGAGAACAACCTTTCCACCACCCAAATCAGGAAATTCACGAGCTTGCCCACCATTCTACATTTCCACTGAAGCAATCACCTCGCCAACCATAAACTAGCAGGAGGAAGGAAACAAGAGCAATTCCCAACAGACCCAACTTCAACAGGCAACCAAAACCCCAAGATCAAGACTAATTTCCCGATTAGCGGACGATTTCAAAGGGGGCTACATCTTTTAAGGAGGGAAGATGAGGGGAGACATACTTTGGCTTTAGGGATGGCTTCGGTCTCGTCGCGCAACCGGTCCTTGATGGCCTGCACCTGAAGCTCCATCGCCTTCAGCGACGTGTCGACCGCCGACAGATCGGCGATGCTGCTCCCCGGATACACTGCCCGAACCAATTGGATCAAGAACCCGGAAAAGAAAATCACGAATCGAGATCGAGCTCGGGGACTCACTGTTTCGGGCGATGACGAGCTCCTGGAGCTCGGCGACTCGGGTGTTGAAGGTGGCGATGAGGGCGTCCAGCGACGCCCCGGCTTGCTTCGCCTCCATCTCTCTCTCTCTCTCTCTCTCTCTCTCTCTCTCTCTCTCTCTCTCTCTCTCTCTCTCTGTTTTGGGGATGATTTGAATCCCAAAGGAGTGGTTTTTTGGCGGCAAGCATTTGAGCTTTTGTGAGGGATTCAGGGGGGCCTTTGCGAACCGAAACCCGAGGAGGGGTCCAATTGCAAAAAAGTTAGAAATTGGGGGACTAGCCAAACCAAAGGGAGAACAAGTTAGGGGGGCGGGGCTTCGCGTTTAATATTGATAATATTTTTGAAATTAAAAAGAAAAATTACCTAATTTTTTTTTTATCAAAGTAGGGATATTCGTCCTACTTTTTAGGATCCGTTTGTTTCGCGAAAAATGAATAATTGTTAAAAACATTTTGCTAGAACCATTGTTTGTGTCGCTGACAAAAATGAATAGATGGAAAATATTCTCATTGTCCACGAAAATATTTAGATATAAATTGTTGTTAATAATAAAAAAAAACATTTTTTCCTAAATTTTCGAGTTTTGTCTATCGGTGAAAATGGTAGGAAGAGGCGACGGCCCTAGCGACTCCTTTCTAGGCTGAATCATAAAGGTCCTACACTCACTATAGAGTATTATTCATCAAGCATTTTCTAAAATTTGAAAAAGGGGAAAATTTGGAAAAATAGATTATCGTTGGCTCGCAATCAGTAAATTTAATTATATCACATTGCGCACGGAAATGACTCCATTTGCCTACATGATCGCGTACTTTTTAAAGTATGCAATGCATGAAAACATAGCAGATAGAGAGAAAACATAACTAGACCAAACTAAATGAGCGCATCTGAATTGACTTTGTTCATGCGAAACACTCGAAACAAAGTATATAAGTATTTACACATCATTATGCATGTGATTTCTTATAATTTTTTTGGAACTTGAATTATAACTTAAAAGTATACAGCAAAGAAAAAAAAATACTTTCGAATTTGCTTGTGTTTATGTGAGTACAAAGCTTAGTGACCTTTCGGTGATTTTCCCCTCTAGTTGACAAATTGCAATTCGTGGTCGTAAAGAGATCGCAACAACATGAAGCTTGGGATTTGATTCGATTTTGTTTCAATGTCGACTATATTTTATTTATTGCGCCCCCCTATAATAATAATAATAATAATAATAATCATAATAATAATCATAAATGTGCTCGGAATTGGAGATACAAATAAGAAGATGATCAACATATCATCCATTGAATCATCCTCGGAAATGCCACTATTTAAGGGAATTTAGGGATTTTTGTTTCGTTGCTTCGAACATTATTTTATATTTTTCATTGAATGGAGAAACAATTGGGATACGAAAATGTCGGTTCAATTGCATATATTCTTAATAATTATTGAATATTAAACTTCCCACCGTCTTCACTGGCTTGATGATTTGTTCCATATCCAGTGAAAATGGGGGATTATTAACATATAGGTGAAATTAATTTATTAATTGATCATATTCCAAAAGAATTTGCCTCGCTCGATAAATGAAAACGTTAAATTTTTTGGCCCAAAACAAGGTCCAAAATTATCAAGGTCGTGTTAGATGAAGGCGTACTTTAATATTTAAATATTGTAACGCTCCTCCTCACGCGTACATTAAACTTTAACATAAGCCCAAAACGTAAAAAATATATAATTGGAAAGATGAATAAATGCCTACAAAAATTTGAACTCGGAATCTCCTGCTCTAATACCAAGTAAGATTCTTTGTGGAGGAAATTGTCTAATCAGTTCTAAACCCGATTTCCCACAAAAAATGACTAGAAAAATTATATTGGAATTTCGCGCAAAGGTTTAAGACTTAATTGGCAAATTTGATAAATTTTGGACTGAATTAGAATCTGCACAATAGGTTTATGACTAATTTGGTATTTTTCTCGCTTTTGTAGGACCATTGTTAATTGTTCTAAAAACTAAAGTTATCAGATGAAGACACAGTCGTACCCTAACTTGGATGACTATATATTGTTAGAAGAGAAACTAACAATTTACCAATTATCTACGAGCATAACATGTCTATATGTTTGTATGTATGTATTCGAAAACAAAAATTGTGTCGAACTAGGGTACATTTGTAAGAATTCAGACTTTGTAGATATAGCATAGTGACTATGCGAACACAGGTTGATTATGCATGTGAGAAATGACAAATAGAGAGGTCGTGTGTGGGATTTTGTGGGATTACTGCTAACTATCCTAAAAGATTAAATTATTAAATGACGAACTTTGGTCTGAGCCTAAAGCGTGGAAAAATGTAATTGGAAATATTTGAACTCGAAAACTCCTACTCTGGTATTATATAAGATCTTCTACATGTTATAAAAGTTTAAGCTATTAATAAATGCGTGATTTAATATTCAAATATTCTAATATGTGTAAGAGATACGCATAGAAATGACATCGGGCATGTCGAATACTTAGAAGAGTTTGAATTAAATTCTCATTCAAAAAAAGTTCGAACGCAAATGAAACGAATTTGAAAATCGAGACATGATACATTGATACATCGAAATTCGAATATCAAAACAAATTCGATTACTCTTGAAAAAGTATGAATGCATGTCAAGAGACAAGTCTTGGCCCAATTACTCAAGAATCGTTAAAGGATATATGAAATCCATTTCGAAGAAGGCATTTTTTGAGTTGATTCTTGAAAAGCTTTCATCCTAGAGTTGGAAGTCTTACTTAGAATGCATACTCAACAAACACTTCGCTCAAACTATAAAAGATGTTTGCTAGTAAAGAGGTCATTGCGATAGAGATGCCTTCAAGTCGTGGGATCAGGAACCATTCGAAGGATGACTTTGAAATCAGATCGTACGGATATGGAGAAAGGAAAATTCTCTTTCGAGAGCAAATGTCTTTGAAAGGAAAATTTGAACCAAGTGATTTATAAATGGAATCACGGAAGAGCGTCAATGAACCTGTCCTCACGTCATCCTCCGATGTAGGAACATGAGAGTGTTTGAATATAGAGAATCCTGAAGTGAACGTGCTGTGCTCCTGTGTGGGGATCTGAGAAATGCTTGAATACAGAGGGGGTCCTCGAACCTTCATGCCATCGCTCCGTGTGGGGATTTGAGGAACACTTTGAATCTAGAGGTTCTTTGAATCTTCAAGCCATGTCCCGGTGCGGAGGATTCGGAGAAATGCTTGAATCTAGAGTGCGGTTTTGGGCTCTAAGATCTTTTTTTTCGAGTGTAGAAAGGTTTATATCGAAATTTGACCGGCGGTTACTCCTTCGTTCAACATCTGTCCAAGCTGGTCTTTTTGGCGTTGGGATGCTTGATCTCTAGTCTCAGCACGTGCACTGAAAGTCAGGAATTCGCAGCCGTCCCGACATTGCAAATGAGTGCGACCGGTTTTGTGAGGTCAAAAAATGACCATCGGATTCAGGTGGTAATATGGGTGTCAATATACTTGTTTTGGTTCCGCTTGTCAAAATTAACTGTCAGATTCGGGCGTTAATAAGGTTCTCGTTTTGACCAGTAAAATCCAATTTTGAGGTTTAAGACGTTTTCTAGGTCTTGTATCTCCAGTCAACTTTTGATCAACTCTCAATCGACCCTAGGTCAATCTTAATGATATTCGGAAAATGAGGGGCAAAATTTCCGGTGGCAGCAAACACATTAACCCACCGGATTATAACAATCGAGATATTCTTTTACTCTTTTTTTTTTGTCTTATTATTTTTGTTTCTTCTTCATCCGCAACACCTCTACCTCCATCCATGATCGTAGACGCTGCTCGCCAGTCGTGGTGTCATGGCTCTGGATGTAGCCGCCATCACTCAATTCGCCCTTAGGGTCTCTCTCCCGCTCTGTGTACGTGTGCGTGTCTAAGTGCGCACGTGGCGCTTCCCAACTAAGGTCGCTTACTAGGTCGAAACTCACTAGCCTCCGGTGATCCAGACTGTAAGGTTGCTTGGAACAATCGACCCCCTGCCTGAATCATTCACACAACAAACCATTGCAAGAAGCGGCTCTCTCTTCCTTCCCTCGTGCAGAGAGAGAGAGAGAGAGAGAGAGAGAGAGAGAGAGAGAGGTGGCAACAACGAGGGTCTGGTGACCGTGGCTCGAATACTGACAACGGCTGAGAGAGGCTTTGCGGGCACAATTGAGGTGAAGGTGTAGGCTAGAGAGCGAACAGAAAGGGATTTTGCGATTAGGGTTTGGATCGGAGGGTGTATGAATATTTCAAACATTGTGAGAATAGTTTTAGCATACTCGAGCGAAATAAGTTGATATGACTTCATCTGAACAGTTGAATCGACATTCGACGTACATGTCTAACTATCAAGAACGTAACAAATTTAGGATATAATTTTATCTCCTGAAATTTAGACTAGCTCCTACGCCAATAAACACGAGCAAGCATTTTGGGAATCGATTACAATGGACGACAACATTTTCTAGCTGTTGTATATAGATGTTCGCAGAGAATGTGTCGACACAAAGGAGCAAAGCAAATCTTCCTACCTCATCACATTAAGCGAAGCTAAATCGAGAAAGAAGGGAACAAAGCAGGAAAAGCATTCAAGACCTTACTGATAAGGATGCATTCCAGCTACGTAAACCTAATCAAGATCAGAAGATGTTCATCTTGAATCACATGTTATTTATGTTTTCCAAGGGATGGGTGGCCAAACAGGAAAAGCGAATGAAGTGAGTGGTAAAAACAGAAAAGTAATGGCTGGATGAACTAACAATCAAAGAAGCAAACCTCCTAAGGAGTTGAGATTCACAATACCTCTTCCTGATCAGGACCAGCCTTGCATTAAGAGATGCGAATTCTTCACCCATATCGGTTTTTCATGCATTTTTAAGAGACTGAGCGATGCTCGGTCAAACAAAATTGATATGTCAAGTGATAGGATGTATTACAAATAGGCAATTTATATAAAGTGGGCCATAATTATACTCGATCAGAGTTTGGCACTTAACTTGATACAGTAATTACCTAGCATTATTCAAGAGATTGCATAAGGTAGCTTATTCAAGCAATTCACATGCATACGTACATACATTGATGCAATGATTTAGGAGATTGAGTTGCATAATACCATTACTTTTATCAAGTAAACCCACACCTAGACTATCATTAAGTTTTCTATGTAGTCTCTCTTATTGTACCAATTAAAACCAAAGCATGATAAAGATATATTAATATAGATTAAGTCAATTATGAATTAGAAACTTAGAAACCCGTAAAACCTTCCCAAGATCCAATGGAAAAAAAATGATATTGATACTCGGGTTTTATTTTATGTGATTGGTCCTCACTCATCAGCTATGAAATCAGTTTAATCTTCCATATATATATATATATATATATATGAAGCCAAAAAAGAAGAAACTCTATGAGTTTTGGATTGAATAAGTTATATTAAGGAGCGAGAGGACATGAGATCATGATATCTGGACGAACTTCATCTGCAATTTCTAACATGAGGAATCCTTCAGGCTCCATAGGAATGGATCATAAAAACTTGTCAATATATATGAATAATAGTCCTACGCTTGTGTTGTATATTACATTTTACAAAGTCAACACATACGTAATGGCAGAAACAGTCGTACCCTTAGCCGATAAGCTAGCCTGAATGCTTACTCATATGGTCTCGTCTCTGCGCATTAACAACGTAACATACTCATTATAGTGCCAAAATGCAGCGATTGCTTGGTGATACCGCGAAGAAGCTCCGGGAGATTCGACATCAAACTAGCCAAAAATTGGTCAATTGTGAGATGGAGGGTGCGTCTTCGGCGGGCAGTAATCGGAATCTAGCCCAGGATGTTTCTCGGTCGGTATCTTCCGAGGCACACGCCATGAAACCGACACGAGAGACGACACATTTTGATGATGATGAGATGGACCTCTTATCTTTCCTTTCGCATCTTTCCTCATCGTCATCAGCTTCTGAGTTGTTCTCGTCTGAACCATCGCCTTTTCAGGTTTTTTGGCCACTGGGGTTTCTGCATTGCTGCCTTCATTATTGAAGCTGGTATTTCTTTGCATGGACTTGAAATTTGAGGTGGTATTGACTCTATCAAGTCCTGTCTTCACGCCGCTCTGCAATTATTCAGGTGTGATTTCTAAGGATTTTCCAGAAAAACCAAAAAATAACTTCTTTTTAGAATAAGGAAAACAAGAAAAAACTTTCATGCATGCATAAAGATATATCAAACTCTTTTTTCAATTCATCATGTGCACCTACGATATGTCAAACACCCAGCTATAATCATAACTGGTGGCAAATTAAAATTTGACTGCATAAATACTAAACCGAACATTCGAAGTTTAAACTGGCATTTCATCATGTAGTATGCAGATCAATGCGTCTTGGTTTTCTAAACTTTCTTTTTGTGGATTGGCTCAACCTTGGAAGAAATCTCTAACATCAATAGCTTTCCTGATGACAACATCAGTAATGATTCTCATCACTAACCTTGCTAGATGAGGTAGTTCTCTTCACCGGCTTCTTGTCCATGTCCGTGAGGTGTCGGCCATCGCATATATGCAAAGAAAGGCCCATGACGATGAAGACGAGAAGGCAATACGTGATTGACATGCTAACACAAGATGAGGAGGAAAAGTTTGTGGAAGCCCTAGGTTTATGAGTACAGGCAATACAGATGACGAATTTTAATCCCCAAGAAGTCCCCTTTTCGCATACAAATAAGGTAATGGTCTTAGCTGTAGTTGAAGAGAGAAAACAAAGAATTAAATGCAGTCTAAGGAGAGGTTGAAGGTCTGTTCCTCCGGGCAGAACATGCGGTTTGAGGCAGGTACAGAGAGAATAGGAGGAAGACAGTGGAGATCATGGGATGTGTCTTCCCTACTGTCTTGACACTGCAAGCAATGGGTTCCCAGGAAAGAACCTTAAACAGGGAAAAAGAGAAGAGACTCGAGACTCCTCTCTCTCTCAGATAAATAGCATGTGTTAGTGTTCAAGAAGAAGAGATCATTTGACTCCATTAATTAAGAGCAAAGACCAATTTATTAGAATATTATTTAAGAGGAAAGTGAAACAAGAGATGGAAGGCCTACATGCTAGTGCCTGCCTATTGTTTACTACCCTGGGTTGTCTCCATCCCCTGTCTTTATTATAGTTTAAAGAATTCTTGCAAAGAATTTAATATTATCATCTTGTGTGCAATTTGACTATGTGGCAAAAAGTAGGAAGCCCTTTTAATGACAATGTTGTTAATTACTTGAGGTTCTCGGCAATGTCATAGGGAAATGCACGTTTTACCGCACATCTTGCACTCCGAGCAAGGACATGAATTTAGCATCTCTAAAACTCCTATTTTTAAAAAGAAGTTTTGTTATAAAAAAAGAAATACTCTAGAAACCTTTATTAAAAATTTAGATTTATAAATAATTAGTAAACTGACTATTCATGATTAATTTTGTAGACTTTGAATATTTTTCGTTAAACATATGTAACAAATGTCCGGAACACTCGTTAACAAATCTTTAGAAAAAAAATATATTTTTCTTGTGTGATTTTATAGGGTTGATTTAGGGTTGAAAATCTATAAACAATTAATATGAGGGTTTTTGAAATAGTCATCCATGGGGAAGTGTGGATCAGCCAGTGTTTCTATGCGGCTCCTTTCTCCAAACATGTTTAATCCGGTCAGCCTACAAACCCAACACACCTCCCCCCCTCTCTCTCTCTCTACCCAGCCACACACACACACACACACACACACACACACACACACATGGATGCACAAACTGTGGTTTTGTGTATAATTTATATGAATCATGTATGTGGTGACAGATAGGTGCAATTGATGTACACAAGAAGGCCACAAGAGAGGTGGCCAAAATAGTCAAAATTGGTGGGACAAATAGGTCATAAGTTTTACCCCCGAAAATCATGTGAGCGGTGCGTGCTAGCTGAAAGGGGTTAACGGTGTTAACCAATATAACAAAATTACAAATTCGAAAGGATAAAATGCTACTTTTCTAAATAAAAAAAAAGCGTGGAGTTTAACATATATTAACTCCAGACTTGGGGGAGCAGAAATGGAAATTCTCCCTTACTGTTACTTGCAAAAACTTGATCTTATTTTAAACAAAATAACCTCATGAATTATGTACTTTACATGCTTTATAATAGTCTGAACTTTACAAGGGATTGAAAAACCGCTGACCTTTCGATGTTGGGAAAGAATAAGCGGTGGGAGGCGTCCTGCTAAAGCGAAATCAGACAGATCGGAGAGCGAAGAAAGAGGCGAATCGCATTGGTAAAGTTCAGGAACATGCCTTGAATTCCCCCAAACACCAACCCTTTGTTTATCCTTTTCTGTTTTCGCATCCCCACAATAGTTTCATGTCCTGGGGATTTGTAAATTTTGTAATGGTTGTAGTCCTAGTTTTGGTCTTTTGATGGCCTCACCAGGACCACTCCAAATTTCTAGATTGATTTAATATTACCCCCACATGAGTGCAAGATTGATCTATAATATTGAATGCAACTTTTTTTCTTTTGAGAAATCAATCTTTTGAAGTGAGATAGCATGATTGCAAGAGAAAGAATCCACACACTAATTGCGACGGAACCATTTGTTCCGTGAAAAATAAATGGTTTGGGAAACATTATTGTAAAAATAATCGCTTGAAATCATTACTCAATAAAAATATTTTCATCATTGACAATAATTTATGTCTAAACTTTTTCATAGACGTTAAAGACAATTTTCGTTCATTTTTTTAAGTGATACAAATAATCATTTTTAGAAAGATATTTTTCAAATTATTCATTTTTTGCGAAACGAAAGAGACCTTTGATCTCAGAGAGTTTCTTACTAATGTATGTGGATTTATTTTCCAATCTCGCGTTAAAAAAAATCCCATTCCCCAATTTTGCCCGAACATTGAAATAAATGGCTTCCTAAGCTTAATTACAATAATCTTTATCTATATGTGCATTGTGGTTGCGAAATTAGTAAACGAGTCGAGTCAACTGTTACCTTAAACTTCCTAGGCAATGACTTGGGTCCGATTTCCGCTGCTGAATCTATTCTGTACTCTTTATCAATATTAGATGGATATATATTCTAGAATACGTTCGAATTAATTATTTTTTGAATTAAAATATATAGTTCTATTCTCGTACCTCAGAAAAAAGTTGTTGATATGATAATTCTTTTGTGCAATCACCGACAATGAGTCTCTACAGCTGTCTCCATCAATCTTCGCACTTTCCTTACATTCCAACTCTTCTGAACTTTTACCGACCAAAAACAAAAACCTCATCTGAACTTTTCAACCAAAATAAAAAATAAAAAACTCTTCTGAACTTACTGCCAATGTGTGACATTCTTCAGCCAACTTTTTGCAAAAGCAATCAACAAGATTTCAACTCTAGGTTTATGATCTCAACGAATCTTGGAGACAAATACCAAAAGAGTTCTAATTTTGTTGTAATTGTGTCAATTCAGTTCTAAACATTTTAATTGTCCCAATTGAGTTATAAATCTTTGGGAAAATACCACAAAAAACCCCAAACTATGCCACTTGTGACAAATTTACCCTGAACTTTTTTTTGTGACACGAAAAACCCCAAACTATGCCACTTGTGACATATTTACCCCACATTACTTTGGCCCATGGGCATTTTCGTCTTTTTCCTTTTTCTGCTTTTTTCCCTTTTTTTGTTTGCTTTTCTTCTGGCGCCTCCCGGACATCTTGAGGGCGGCCCTCGCCGGGATGCGAGGGACGCCCCTTGTTGGCATTGGGTCGCCCTCGCCAAAAAAACCGCCCTCGCCCGGATCCGGCGACTATGACGCCCGGAGCGACTTCCGAGGCGAGGCCGCCCTCACGGAGAAGAAAAGAAAAAAAAAGGAAAAAAAATAGAAAAAGGAAAAAGACAAAAATGCCCATGGGCCAAAGTATTGTGGGGTAATTTTATCACAAGTGACATAATTTGAGATTTTTCGTGTCACAAAAAAAAGTTCAGGGTAAATTTATCATGAGTGGCATAGTTTGGGATTTTTCGTGTCACAAAAAAAAATTCAGGTAAATTTGTCACATATGGCATAGTTTTGGGTTTTTGGTGGTATTTTCCCTAAATCTTTTGATGATTTTACCAATCTAATTTATCCGGCCAATTTTGGCTGAAAATCTACGCTGGTTGTCCTATGTAACACAATCGACATCGACGTGGACAAATTTTATAATTTTTTAAATATATTTTCTTCCTTTTGTTTGTTATTTTTCATTGTGTGAGGGCAGGTGAGGGTCTCGACCCTGCCCAGGCCTTCGCCGAACGTGGGCAAGGGCCGGCGAGCCCTCGTCAAAGGCCACGAGGGTGGCCCTCACCCAGGCCGCAAGGGTCGAGCCCTCACCCAAAGCGAGGGCCGCCCTCGCTAGAGGCCGCAAGGGCCAACAAAGGGCCGCCCCTCGCCAGGTCTGATGAGGACTTGGCAGTAGAGGTGGCCACGGTTCGGAACCGACTGGTTCCGGTTCGTGGCCAAGTGTGAACCGGAACCGGCCGGTTCCGATTTTTTTTTTTCTATTTTTTTTCTTTTCCTTTTCCTTTTCTTTTTTTTTTCTTCCTCCGCGGTCGGCCATAGCCGGGGCTGGCGCGGAGATAGCCGGGGCCGGCACGGAGGTCGCCGGCCTCGCCCGACGCCGGCGAGGTCGAGCCTCGCTAGTTGCCGCGAGGCCGGCCTCTCCCGGCCCGGGCGAGGGCCGCCCGCGCCGGCCGCGACCTCCGCGCGGCCCGGCCATGGCCGGCCGCGGAGGAAGAAAAAAATATTATAATATAAATTATAATTTTAAAAAACAGAAACAAGGAAAAAAGACAAAAGAGAAAAAGGAAAAACAGAAAAGGAAAAACAGAAATGAAAATATAAAAAATTAAAAAAATACTATTCTTGTGATAGAACATTATTCAATATAAATTGTGATTAAAATGTAAATTGTACTCAAATTTGGGGACAAAAAGACAAGAGAGAAAGAAAGGGCTTCAACTTAATAAATTATCATTAAGCACATTACAATTCGTTACAACGATCTTAAAAAAAAGGAGTACAATATATATACCCTAAAATTATCCCAAAACCTAAGCATTCCGTGCGCGGGACCAGAGGTCACATATCGTCGGATTATATTTCGGTTTCCCTAAGCTCACGTGGGCGTACCCGGTATGAGAAACAAGAGTTCCCGAAATATTTGCCAACTCCAATAGTTCTTTTACCCTCAATCGTCACTACCCGTTCCAAGACCGATACCGGTAGCGGTAGTATCTCCGTCGTTAAAGAATTCGGATTCATTAGTCCGATCTATCTCTTGTTGCCGGTATTGAGCCTTCGTCCAATTAGCAACACAAACTTGCATCTCCACGATTCTCGGATCTAATCTTGAACGATGTTCGTTCAAAATATTACCTCCGATGAATGCTTGTTCGACCGCAACCGTGGAACAAGGGGTTGAAAAAAATCTGTCTAGCAATAAGAGAAAGGATTGGGTATTGGCTTGCGTGCCTCTTCCACCAATCCAAAATAAAAAAATCTGTACCACCTTCGGCTTCAGCAAACTCAAATAAAATGGTTAGATAACTCTTTAATTCAGAAATATTTCCTATTACTCCCTTTTGTTTTTTTTGTCTATGTAATAAAAGTTGGTACCCTCTACTAATTTTACTGTATTGTCATTTTGTATCTCAGGTAGATTGAGAAGATCTAATATCACCTAAATTATATTTAGTATAAAATTCATTATATAATTCTATTACTACGTTTTTAACCTCACGTACTATGGTTGTAACATTTGTCACATCATAATGTAAACATTGATAATACGCACGCAAAAAATCATTTAAGCCATCCAATTTGCAACGCGGATAAAAAACACAAGCAACTAAATAAATCATGGGAATTTCACTATAATAATGAAGCCATTTCATTTTCATTGCAACTATAGTATGTTATAATTCAACATCATTTTCATATTCATCAAAAGTTCCGACAATATTAGTACACTCTACTAAAAATAAATGTGTAGTAGGATAATAAACACCAGACAAAGTATAAATTGCATCATTAAAAACCTTTAAAAGATCTAAATTTTTTTGGCA